GAAACGTCAGTCACCAACAACAGTTCTTTTCAGAACTACACTCACCCGGACGATCACACTATACGAACTACTGATATTCCTGGGTTCAAACCATTTACTGTGTTACGTTCACTAAAACAAACCACGTTATCCGCTGCATAGTGAGTTATCCGGCAGATAGGGTTATCCACCTTTCGAACAACCTGGGCCTGCTCGGTAATTTGTTTTGTTAGGCAGCCTAACGAGGATAGTCTTAGCTCGTTACGCGGCCCTGTGGCTATGAAAATGGGTATAACAAAAGTAAAAACCAAAACTAGGAAGATTTTTTCCTATTTCAGCAGAATAAAAAAAGCTTGGTTTTGTAATTTTCAATCTTCCCTCCCGGTGTGCGATTTTCTTGAGACTTGTTCCTTTGCTTGTAGACATCGATACAGATGTAAAGGTTTATCTTGCTGATTATTATAGCGTAAATCCTTAATTGTTCGAGCTTTCATACGATAACTCATTTATTAGTACTGCAAACCAAATTACGGTAAAATCGTTCCAGTTATGATAATTCCTATAAAAATTCCTACAACTGAAACTCCCAAAAGTTTTATACAGCCGAATTGATACATAACGCGAGCTTCGGTCTGCCTGTAGGTCACGTGCGATAGTTAGACATTTGATCGGATTCTGACAAAAGTAATGTAATCGGGATTTAAATTAACTTGAAACAAATTGAGCAAATGTCTCGAGTTACAAAATCGCCTCAGTTCGTTAAAAACGTTACATACGACAAAATGAAACTTTATAATATAAATTTGTTTCAAACTTTTCTGTGAAGGCAAACACAATTTAATCGCTTTGCTCCTATTTTCTTCTTTAAGCTTAGGTTTAAAATTAAAACACTATTATAGCATTGTTGAAGAAGTAAAGAAAGTTTCCCATTTGACGGGAATTATTGCCGTTTATAAAGTATAGACGTATAGAATAGAGCTTACCGGACGATTGGGTCATAGTCAAACTGTCGGTCATCAAATCTGTGTGGAAAGTACGGAGCTTTGGCGAAGATATTCGGTGCCAAGGCTGTAATTCAGCCATTTAGGAGCTCTTGAAGGTAGAGCTCTTACTTTTTCCATCTTTCTAACTCCAGTGCTTTTGTCGGTCCTGATGACAAACTTCGAGGTAACTTCCATTGCCGCAAATTGGGCAACTGAAATCCAATATGGCGATGATACTTACAGAGACAAAGACACGCCGCTCGCAAAGAGGCCACGCCGGTCATGACGTCATATCATGTCAAAGCGAAACAACATGGCGGATCCTTTGTATTGTATTTGTAGGCAACCGTACGATGAGTCGCAATTTATGATCCAGTGTGATTCTTGCGAAGAATGGTACCATGGAAGGTGGGTATGACTATTTCTTAAGCTGTGGCTCATATTTCATTCGAAATGATTGCTTATCTTCTTTACCTTTTAGCTGCGTGGGAATCGAAGAGTACCAGGCGTCGGACATAGAACGGTATCATTGCCCGGAGTGTGCGTTACTACACGGTCCGTTGACACGTAAGTAAATATCACCCTGATTCGGAAAGATGTATGAATAAGTAAGTTTCTCAGTTCTGTCCTTAGCGCATCAAACGTTTAACAAGGAACACTGATATATCGATGAAATTAAAGTCTGAAGGTTTACACTTCAGAGAGCGCGTTAAGCTTAACTTTGATTCGCACAGAAAATTCCTTTGTTTATTTCTTTAGAACAACTCGATACTCGCATTGGATTGGGTTTGAAGAAGAAACCAAAGCTTATATGTTTCTACCGAGTGTTATAGACGTGCTCATTTTAGTGATGGGAAAAACACCTGTTTGAGTCAATTCAGAAATTATGAAATATTGTTGTAAGCTTATCTCCTTCGAGCTTTCTTTGAATTATGAAGATTATGCTTACATGTAAGCTTATGTACGTGGGATTCAATGATATTTATTAACTTACTGAGGCATGGTTAGTTTAGAGAATAAAGTTTGCTTAATGTTAAATGTGGAACGGTCTTTGCTCTTGATTCGTTTTCGGGAAGAATTACTTCAAATTGATAAACAATGACACGAGCCTCGACAAACCACTAACGTTGAACTGTTTGATTTGTGTTCGTCGACTTCACGGCTGTAAGGTTAAGCTTATATTCATTTACAAGATTTGTTTTCCCTATATAAAAATAAATAAATTTAAGTGAAATGTTAAAATTATTATTACAATGTGTTTGAATAAGCATGAAATTACGTTAAATTGCTTTAGCTCAAGAGGCTTAACAGACTTTATTTGGTCGCTTTTACTTCCATAAGGCGTCAATTTCACAGAAAAAAAAATATCATTTTCAGTTTGGACTTTTATAAACTGATACTTATTAAATATACTTGCAACATACAATTTGTAAATTATCCTTGGAGTAGAATATTGGTGGGATATTTTGCCGTTTTATTAAACAGGATTTATCTTTGGCTTCAATTAAAATTCATTTACATGATATTGTAGATCAATAGAAAATGACTTTGTCAGTTTCTATTGTAATATGTCGTTTTTAGGCCTGTTCATTGTTTCCGACTACTGAACAGTCAAAAAAGTTGAGTTTTCTTAGGAGCTGCAAGTGAAAGTCAAGTGGGATGACATCTTGCGATAATTTTCTATTTTCTTTGAGAAAGAGATACCACCTTTTAATAGGACTGAAAATTCCTATTATGTGGCAATGTGTGCAGTGGTTTGGCTTGATTATAATTGTCAATTTTAATCGTAATCACATTGACAATTTCATAATTCAAAGTTGAATTTTCCCAGTTTTCAGTTTATATTGATTGGTTTCAGTGTGTGTGATATGGTTGCACTCATTTGTGGAGAAAGACGGTGTAAGACTTACTTCTAGATAGTTTCCATAAACCATATTTAAAGTCATGAAAACCTATTGTTTCGAAGAACTATTTTTTCTGCTTATTTTCAGTAAAGAAACGAAGAAACTGGCATCGACATGACTACAGTGAAATAGATGACGGATCTAAGGTGAAATTAAATGTCCATTAAACATTTTCAGAAATAAATAAAAAGGGGAAATAAATTAAAGAAGCGATGTCGTAGATGGGACATCTGAAAGATTTATCCTAATTTTTCAGGTTTGTTGTTTCCACCTTAATCTGAACCTCAGTTGCCAACCTTGTCATTTTTGGGCTAACAATCTTCCCGTTGAACCCCTTTATTGTGAACTCTCCTGGGAAAAGAGACACGGTTCGAAATAGGAGGGAGTTTGAAGTAACCAAAAATGAAATAACCAATTCAGTAGCAGAGCTCAACAAAAGTGCCGTCTGGTCGTTTGGGACATGCAGATTTTCTTGCAAGGCAAGTTACTTTTCATTCTCACTTGCCGGGAGGGCAAGGGGTGAGACAAGTCATCTGCCAACTAAATCAAGAAAAGCAAACTAA